ATATGGGATCTTAACATTCAGGGGTGTTTGACCTTTCAGAGAGACAGGATGGATGGAAAAGTGGTGGGGTAGCACCGCTAATAAGAAATGAAATGAGGGCAGTTGAGAGGGCTGATCTAGGCTTGGATGATGTAGAATCTATTTGGCCGATATAAAAAACAGCAAGGCAAAGAAGACATTGGTTGGAGTAGTGTACAGACCCCCAAAAGGTAGCCATTCTATGGGAAAGGCTATAAATCAACAAATAACAGGAGCATGTAAAAAGAGCAAAGCAATAGTTATGGGTAACTTTAATCCTCTCGTTGATTGGGTTAATCAAATTGGAAAGGGTAGCCACAGCTACAAATTCATAGACTGCATTAGTGATATGGCTCTAGGAAACTATGTCATGGAGCCAGCCAGGGAACAGGCTATCTTGGATCTGATAATAGACAATGAGGCAAGCTTAATAAATAACCTCCAAGTAAAAGATCCCCCAGGAAGTAATGATTATAACATGATAGAATTTAATATTCAGTTCGAGACTGAGAGATTTTCATCAGAAACAACTGTTTAAGTTTAAAAAAAATTAAAATGAAATATGGATAGTGCTAGCTAAAGTAAATTGGGCAGATGAACATAAATGACTGTGAACAAGGAATGGCAGTCATTTAAGGGGGCAATTCATGACTCTCACTAAAAGTACATCCCAGTAAGGAGGTGTGATTCTAAGAAGGGGAAACCAGCCATAGCTAACCAAGGAAGTCAAGAAGACTATTAAATTGAAAGAGAAAACATGAGGAGACCAAAGTCCATGTTAGGTCGGAAGAGTGGGATAAATTCAGAATTCAGCAAAGGAGGACTATGAAAAGAGTAAAGACAGAAAATAACCTACAAGGGCAAACTAGTGAGGAATATGTGATCTGACAATAAGAGCTTTTTTAAATATATAAAAAGGAAGAGAGAGGTCAAAGTGAACAGTTGTCCAAGCACATTTCTCTCTGATGACGGTAATTGTTTTAAGTTCATCTCTCCCTAATAATCTTTTATTTCTAATTATATTTTGGGGTTTTTTTGAAGTGTGCTGCAGTGAAGACAGACACAAAATACAGGTTTAAAACCCCCTTTGTTATCCATGATCAATTCCTGTACTCACTCTTAAGTCTAACACTAGTTTTAATTACTCTTTTCTTTTTCAAGTAGTTGTGGTAACTCCTATTTTATATTACTAGCTAGTTTTCTTTCATGCTTTGCCTCTTTATTCTCTTTTTAGTGATTCTTAAGCTGGTTCTTAATATCTGACCAGTCCCCTGACCTACTATTAACCTCTGCAGATTTGTAGTATTTATTTCAATTTGATACTGTCTTTAAGTTCCTTATCTAAATAAGAATTGGTACATTCTTCCCAAAGCCTTTTTTTTTTTTAAACTTAGCAGGATAAATCTTTGGAGAGTTCTTAAAATTTCCCTAAAATTCTACCAGTACAACTCTACTGACCTGATTTCCCAGTACAGCTGAACTAGCTCTGCCCCATGCCCTCATAGTTACCTTTATTTACATTTAACTCATGATTTGTGGACCTACAATTCTCTTACAAACTGAACATGACAGAATTTCATGTCATCTTCATTATCACCTTTAATCTCTTTTATGATGATGTTAATGATTTATCATATCTCATTACACATCACCAAATCCAGCATAGCCTTGGTTGACTGAAGAATAAACTGTTGTAAGAATTTGTTCCAAGAACACTCACTTAACTCAGTTGCTAAGTGTCCTTGCCCACCTGATTCTCCCAATGGACATGTAGGTTAAAGGTCACCCATGATTATTGTAGCACATTTCTTCTGCCCCACTTATATTTTCCTGTATTCTCTATCCTGCAGTATAACCGCTGTAGGGGGCTACAGACTTCACCCTCAAGTGACCTCTTACCTATTTCTTATCTCTCCCCAGACTGATTCTATATCTTAGTCATTAAGTTAAGGTCATCTCTCAGCACTGATCTTTTACGATTCCTAACAAAAAGACCTGCCACACTACCTTTTCTTGGCTTCCTGTCATTTTGATATGTCAAATATTCTTCAATATTTAGGTCCCAGCATCAGTCATGCTTCAACCATGTTTCTGCAATGCCAATCAGAACATACATATTTTCCAGTATCTGTGCTAACAATTCAACCCTTATTACAAATACTCCATGCAGTCAGAGGCAGTGCATTAAATTCTGTCTTTTTGACCAATGTCTCTGGCTTTACTAGCTATGAACTCTTACATTAGTATATTCTGTTTCCTCCCATTGCACTTGGGTAATCATTACCCATATCGCTGCCCTGCCCTTTGTTGTTTCCCTTTACCGTATCGCCTCTCACTTGATCCCCTCTCACCACTATTAAGTTTAAAATCCCCTTTATCACCCTTGTATGATTCATCAAAACACCGTTCCCAGCATGGTTGGGGTGTAGGTTGTCCCAACAGCACAGTTCCCATTTCAACCACACAATTCCTTGAGCCATGCATTCATCTCTTTAATCTCATTTATCCCATGCTGTTCGCTCATGACGTGGGTAGTAATCCAGAGATTATGACATTTGAGACTCTGCTTTGAATTTAGCCTGTAGCTGTTCTACCTTAACAGAATCTCTTTCTGTATTCTACATATATTTTTGGTACCAAGCCAGTTCCCTGTGATCGCACTTTTTAGGCATGATTGTGACTGGAATGCTTCACAGATTCAAACTCCTGCTGACTCTATGTCCCTTCTCATGCAGCTTTTCCATGCTTGCTCTACTGGAGGCTAACAAAGTTTGATAAAGAAGGCCATGCCCTTGCCAAAAGCCCTAAATCACAAAAATACTCACGTCAAACTCTGCCAAAGCTGCATTCTGTGCCAAACTGAACTCCTCTAGACTTGTTTATTTATACTAACTAATATTTAGATGAATTATCTTGTGGTAACAGAACCAGATTAGACCAATTACTTTCCTAACTAATCTCAGCTGTTCTTCAGCAGGGAGCAGGCTTACCCTTCCCAACCCTGGAAGAAACTTTAAAACAGTAAATTTCAATTTACTCATTAAAACCCTACAAAATTTGTCACAAACTGTGCTCTGAGGCATAAACTTGTGTTCAAAGATTCACTAGGCTAATTCCTAGAATGATGATGTTGTCTTGTGAGGAAAGACCTGAGGAGGTCGGGTCTATATTTTAAAGATTGAGATATAATCTTACTGAAATGCATATAATTCTGAGGGGATTGTAAGGCTAGATGCTGAGAGGATGATGGGGAAATCTCAAAATAGGGAATCAAAGTTTCAAAATAAGGATGTTCCATTTAAGACAGAGATAGAAAGGAATCTTTTCTGAGGATCATTAATCTTTGGAATACTGTGATTTTAGTTTTACTTTGAGTTTTAAGCAGTCTTGTGAAGTCCTTGGATAAAGATCATTGTATAGATTACGGATCTCCAGAAGGGAAGGGTGTGATGAAACTAGATTACTGCAGAGTAAAGAGTTAGTGTTAGTTGCAGACCAGAAACATCAGGACAAAAGCCTTACTCTTTGAAGTTGACTACGTTCAGGTGCTTGAATAGCTGCAGGAAAAGGTTTTCTTCAGTTCCAGTCTATAAATTAAAGCCACAAGTGACCTAAACCTATAGAGGCGTTAAAGACAGGGACTCTGGTGTGTGAACTGCACCATTGGTGTTTTTATGAACTATACAATGTGTTTTTCTCAGGTACTGTACCAGAGGTGTGTTCTGAACATTATACAAAAATTGTTTTTTTTCCAAAATATGAGTCATAAATGAGCCAAGGGTGAAGGGTGGGAAATAGCATGTCAAAGGCTGGGTATACTTCAGTAAACAACTCATCTCCATTCTAAACAACATCTATCCACAATCTTCAAGATATGTCAGGGAAAACAACGGAATTCTCTCCTTTTATCTGTACAAGTAAAGCTACAATACAGAGTTTAGCTCATTCAAGGTAAAGTGGTTCAACTGATCAGTACTTCATCCATCACCTTGACATTCGTTCATTCCACTACTGATGCACAGTGGGAACAGTGGTGTCATATACATGATGCACAGCAGGAATTCATCAAGCTTCCTTCAGCCACACTTTCCAAACCTGCAACATCTAACATCCAGTAGGACAAGGGCAGCAGACTTATGGCAACAGCACCACCTCAGGTTACCTTCCAAGCCACACATTATCCGAACTTGGAACTGTATCAACATTCAGCGCTGTGAATGTACCTGCACCAGACATACTGTAGTTGTTGAAGAAAGTGGCTCATCATCACATACTCAAGGGTAGTAAGTGATGGGCAATAAATGTTGGCTTAGTCCGCAACACCAAAATCCCATGAAAAAATTTAAAGATGACTTTTATCATATCAGTCTAATGTTGATTTCTGCCTCAGGATCATGGGTAAAACATCAGTATTCTGCATCAACTAGAAGACCTTGGAATTTGAATTTAATAGAATTAGAAATTACTTGAGTATGCCAAAATTTTTTTTAAACAAAACTCCACAAAAATATTGAGCAGCATAAAGTTCTAAATCATTATCTAAAATAATTTATTTGGTTCTGACAACTCCAGGAATACAGAATTAAGGCCACAATCAGATCAACCATGATGGGCTGAATGGCCTACACCTGCTCCTATTCGTTGTTATGGTAACACAAATGTCAGGTAATAACCATCTCCAGAAGAAAATAATCTAACCCACTTTTCCTTGACATTCATCACCATTGCCATTGCGGGATCACATGCAGGAATACACAAAGATCAACTTAAGGATAGATGATGCAAGTTTCACTTTTAACTGTTATTTGGCCTAAGGTCTGGTATCCTTAATATAGTTTTCATCACCTGGAGTTGTCAAGTTCCATGTTTACAGATGTCTGATTTGGTTAAACTAGATTTGGGAAAGGAAATAATATTCTTGGACTGATTTTATAAAATGGCTTTATATTAGCTTTATAAAATGGAAAGAAACTTGTACTAACCTGAGACCATATAAAACTGTGCCATCTGGGTGCAAGCGGATCATTCGATTCTTTACAGTCACACCATGCACAAAAGACTTTTTATCATTAAGGAAGTATGTGTCAGGAACCCAGAGCTGATCAGCCACTCTGTTGTCCAAGGTGAGATTCAAAGGTATTTCTGAGTAGGATAGCCGTTTGTCCCGCCAAGCTTGCTGGAAGTACATTGTCAAAGTGTAATCCTAAAAAAGTAAATGGTAAGAAATTATGTTTTGCTAATAGTACTAAAATTCTCTTTTATTTGGCACAAATTTCCATATTATTTGCACACATTATAATATCAATGCACAAATTTAATTGATTTTGGTTAAAAATATTAATCTTGCAAAGAATATTCTATGCTCCATGATGAAAGTGGGGTCAACAAATAAGCATTTTTAGGTTCAAAATAATAACATGAGAATAATTCTTTGTTTTTACAAGTATTTCAGTTCCATGAAATAAATGTGTGTTTAATTCTTTTCAATAGTATTGTGCACTTTTTGAATAAAAACACAACAACAGCGTGTGTTGCAATACCCTGAGTATTATCCAAAATTACCCTGGACTTTCTGTTTCAAAATGCCTGTTATACTGGTATAAACTAAACATCTGAGAATAGAAAATATTTGGGAGTTGTTTTTCTGCATCTGAGCTTCTGGTCTGTGGGTCTCGAAGCCAACAGATGTGCCAATTTAAAACAGATACAGCCTTATTACAATGAGGATGCATTCCATTTCTGATATTTGGATGTACCATACTGGATACCATTTCCAAAGGGTGTCCATGCAAAGAGGGCATTCTAGAACATAAAAACGTAAGAAAAAAGGCAAAACACTGCTTTTTGATCCCTTGAGCCTACACTGATGCTTAAAGCGTCAGGTCTGTTCTTCAACCAGACCTTCAATTTCCCTCCCTATCATCAGAAGGAATAAGCTGTGGCAGTAACCGGTTTTAAGATCCATGGAATCAGAGTAGTTACGGCACAGGAGGAGGCTAGTCAGACTATCGCATTTGAGTCAGCACTTTGCATGAGCAACTCAGTTACTCCCAGTCCTCCATCTTTCTCCTTGCTACTGTATTCTTCACTATTCCGTAAATTATTGAATACCCATTTAAAAACCATGATTGAATCAGCTTCTACAATACTTTCAGACAGTGTATTGCATATTTTGTTCACTTTTTGCATAAAAACGTTTTTTCTCACCTCACCTTCGGTTCTTTTCCCATTCACTTTTAATTGGATCTTTAAACTTCTGCCAACTGTGTCCAGACCCCTTATGATTTCAAATATCTATGTCAAATGTACCCTCAAACTTCTTTTCTCTAAGGAGAACAGCCTCAGCTTCACTAATCTATCAACATAACTGAAATCCATAGTTTCTGGAACAATTCTTCTAAATTTTTTCTGTAAGAATTCTTCACTCGTATAGAATACACTCCACTCGACTGGATGAGTGCAGGTCCAACAATACTCAATACTTGACATCATCTACTACATAGCATTCTACTTGATTAGTAGCAGATCCACAAACATTTACTCCTTCCACTACTAATGCTTTAGTCACAGCAATGTGTGCCATCTACAAGATACACTGCAGAAATTCAGAGTCTTCTGACAGCACTTTTTAGAAGGACTGGGGCAGCACTTACATAGGAATACCACTACTTATAAGTTTCCCTCTAAGCCAATCATCATCCACACTAGCCATTCTCTCAGGTCGCTGGGTCAAAATCCTGGTATTCCTGCCTAGCAGCATTGTGTCCTCTTAAAGCAAATGAACTGCAGTGGTTCAAGAAGGCAGCTCACCATCATCTTCTCAAAGGCAAATAGGGATGAGCAATAAATGATGACCCAGTCAGCAATGACTGCATTCCCAAGAATGAATAAATACATATATAAAATCCAGGATCCTCTAAATCTGTCTAATCACCTTCAATGGTGCATATACCTCGGTTTATTCTGTTCTTGCACCCCCTTTAGAATTGTATCCTTTATATTTTCTATTGATTTTTCTCATTCTTCCTACTAAAATGCATAACTTCAACTTTTCTGCAATAAATTTCATCTGCCACATGTCCACCTTCCACCACCTTGTCCACCCCTCAAAGCGTATCACATTCCTCCTCACTGTAGACATTATTTCCAAGTGTTATGTTGTCCACAAATTTTGAAATTGTGCTGTATGCACCCAAATCTAGGTCATCAATGTAGATCAAAGCAGTGGTTTCTAATACTAACTTCTAGGCCATCCCACCTTCTTCCAGTCCAAACAAAACCACTCACAACTACCCTCTGTTTCCTGCCACCAAGTCATAGAGTTATACAGCACAGAAACGGACCCTTCCATCTAACTCGTCCACACCGAGCAGATATCCTGAACTGATCTAGTCCCATTTGCCAACATTTGGCCCATTTCTTCCTTTCATTTGATTGGCTTAAATTTTGCTAACATGTATGGCACTTACTTAAATCTCTTTGTTTTTATTTTCTCTGCTGGTATTTACATTCTCAACCTTTGGGCTAAATGTTCACACTTATTCAGCTTCCAGCATTATAATTGTCATCAAATTATTTATCAATGTGAGACTCCCTATCCAGATGTTGGAAGTACGAGATGAAACACACTGGCAGATTATTAGCAAGGGTTCAGATTTTAAAAGGATACAGGTCCAGCAGACCCAACATCATCGTGAAGATATCAAAATACTTGATTAATCATAATGGTGAATGCATTCATTAAAATATTTAGTGCGTAATGCTTTAAAAGGAATTATGTAAAAGAATACATGTCAAAGTAACCATTAACCAGTATAGCCTGACTTGCAACATCACTAAACCTGGTAACAATCATGATCAACTCGTCTCAAGACTGGGCCAGCAAAGATCCTGATGCAAGAGTGATATATCTACTATTAGAGCAACTGAAGCTGCCATGTGGCCTATGGTGGCAAAGTCAGTGACATCAATTTGAGCTGTAGAGAAAGGTAAGGCTCCAATACTCAATAAGGAAATATGACACAGTAAACATAATGGATGGGATAAAAATTGATATACAAAATATAATACAAAAAAGTTATTCTTAAGAATAGAGGTCACTTTGTCTGAATGGCTTGCATCATATTTTGTCAAATAAAATGGAAGTTGTAATCACAGGGTGGCTTGACATAATCAATCAAACCTCTCTAGATAGGTGGTGCCAGAAAATTGGAAAATGGTAAACATGATGTCATTGTTTACGAAGGGGGTAAGGATATTATTGCATGCACAAGCTCATTAGTTTAACATCTGGTCAGTTTTGGTAAGGATATAGAAACAACAATGATAGATACAAAATGACAGGCACTCGAGGTTTGAATTAATTAAGGAGAATTAGCATGGATCTGTGAAAAAGCAGGTCGTGCTTGACTAAACTGTTTGAATTTTTTCAAGAACAGCAAGGTTCACAAAAGGGAATGTAATAGATATTACTTACATGGGAAACATTTAACAAAGTTGCACATTAAAGACTAAATAGATGAAATTGAGGCTCATCCTCTAGAAATGTCAGACTCAACCTAGACAAAGAATTGTATTCTGAACCGGAAACAGTGGATAAATGATTTAGATACTGGAAAAAATTTCCTGATAGGGATGATATCAAACTACTTCAACAGGACATTGATAAGCTGATGAAAGGAGAAAGTATGTGGAAAATAGAATTAATACAGAGATGTGTGAAGTGATGTATTTTTATGAAGAGATAGGGAGAGACAATATATAGTTAATGGTGAGTGTAGAGATGAGAGACCTGGGGAGAACAGATATTGATAGATTATTGAAGATAGAGAAATATATTCAAAGAGTAGCAAAGTATATGGGATCTTGGGCACTATAAATAGAAGTATTGCGTACAAAAGGAGAAAGGTTGTGGTGAACATCTATAAAGCTCTAGCTCAGCTACAGCTGGAATATTGAATTCAATTCTGTGAAATTCCTTCAGAGGGTACAGAGATTTACCAGAATAGTTTCAAGGATGAAGAAGTTTAGGTAGAAAATTAAATTGGAAATACTGAGTTGTTTTCTTTGGTGCAAAGGAAGTCGATGGGAGATCTGACAGGTGTCCAAGATTATAAAAGTTCAACTAAGGATGATGTGGAGGTGCCGCTGTTGGACTGGGGTGGACAAAGTCAGAAGTCACACGACCCAGGTTATAGCCCGACAGGTTTATTTGGAATTACAAGCTTTTGGAGTGCTGCTCCTTCATCAGGCTCCTGATGAAGGAGCAGCGCTCCGAAAGCTTGTGATTTTTGTCAGATAAGGAAGCATTAATTGATCATACAAAGACTATAGGAACAAAAACAAATGCAATGGTTATTCTTGAATCTTAAAAACAGAAAATGCTGCACATTCTCGGGGTTCAGCAGCATCTGTGGAGAGAGAATCAGATTTAACGTTACAGGTAATGGACTTTTCTTCAGAAGGAAATGTAATCTTTGATTTTGAGTAACAGTCACTGGAGAACTGTTAGGATTAACTTTTTTTTTGTAGAGTGGAAATAACCTAGAACTTGTTGCTTACAAAAGGTGGAAGTAAAGATAATCAATAATTTCAAAATAATACTCAATAGATACTTAAGGAAATTTATGGGATTACAGGAATAGAACTTCTGAATTGTTCTACAGGGAGCTGATTTGGACTCAGTGGGCCAAATAGCAACCTTCTGTATCACAATGACATAATTCCAACAGACTTATTATTTCCACATCCTGACATTGGCAGTGGTGAGTGCTACAGAGTCCTACCCACCTCAGAAGTGCATCTTGTAACACAAGCTCCAATTTGGCATCCATCAGATGTGTGATAGGTACTGAATTTGCCTGTACTTTAATTTCTGCAACTTGAGATATTTCTTTCTTCATTTTACTCTGTTACTTCTTCATCCATTCTCTTTTCAGTCTTGGTAAAAAGGTGTAGAAAAACTGAGATACTTTTGGAACTAGCTTGAAGGACAAGTCATGTAGGACTTGACATGGTAACTTTGTTTCACTCTCCACAGAGAATGCCAGACCTGCTGAGTTTTTCCATTACTTTGCAGGGTTTTTTTGTCCCTTTTTACACAGGATTATGCTCATTAGACTTTGAGCTGAAGTACATTTAGTGTGTTTGCCACATAAACTGCATGACACTAACATAGCATAGTGCCATACAGCAACATGTCTA